CCGTTTCTCAGCTGTTTGCACTAAAGCACACTCCAGAATGATTAAGTTATCACTATAGTCAGTTCCGATGACTCCTATTCTTTCTGTTCGTTGAGGCAGCTGTTACAGACGCTGCCTCTGACGCTTGCTATGAAACATCAACGACTGAACTTCATCACTGGCCTGTGAATGACCGATTCTGTAGCGAGTACGTGGTTCAGGGTATCATCTGCTTAATCCACAAAAAACTCTAATTCTCCCTCTGAATTTAGCGCCTACCCTATAATACGGTCGAAGCTTTTATCCGCTGCAACCTTAATTGAGGCTAGCCATCTCTCGCTTACAGTTCACATTCTATGACTCTGTCAGCCAGGTTTGGCTTTCTCAGAATACCAACACCGCCTAAGCGATTTCGGGTCATTCCTTGCTAGAATAACTTCCATCCAAAGAGGGTCAGATTTCCAGATCCATGGCACGTCGATGATGAGAGTCGAACTACCTCCAGTCAGCATCTAGCTGTTTCATCAATTTGTTCCTGCTCTTTCCCTTTGAATGAAGAAATCTTCCAATTTCCACCAGTCAGAGCCCACTTTTGGTATCATGTGGAACCCTACCTAAAGCAACCTCTTCCATTTATAACAAACAGCACTTCCCTTGCTGGCCACTACATTTCTTATGTTCGCGCAGATTTTTGGCAGTCTTTGAGTTCTATTTCATTACCATAATGAAAGTCGCCGTCCTCTCAATCTTGAGCCTTGAAACATAAACTCTTTAAAGGCGCCACGAAAAGACGAAGATACTTTTCAACAATGCTGAAATTGCGACGGTTAAATCGAATGAGAATTAAAAGTGTCTTGGAGACAGCCGGCCTGAATATTCTGTTTGAGGGAATCAGGGACCAGCGTCTGTCGTGACTTGACAGAATCATTCGGAGAAGGAATAGGGACCTGTCCAAACCCATTCACCGCTGAGAAACACAAGACGGTCGTCGGTGCATCTTAGGCTAATATCGCATCCTAAAGTAGCTGCTAGAGGCGAATATGAATACGATGAGGAACATGACCTATACTTTAGAAGCCGCCAAAGCATTGGGTTCTCGGTCCTTGACCCTGATACCTCAGTCGACGACGGCGACAATAACAATGCCCTTAGCTGCAAAAGGTATGAAAGAGGTTCTGATAGTCGACTTTTCGCAGTCTACCTCACAAGACGCACTACAGCGGATGACCATTCCGGTATAATATTCCATTGCGTCAATGCCGTGAGTGACAGGTGGTTGCGTTTCGCCGGACACTTCGCTACGGTCCCCAAATGAACTCTTTTTTCACCTGGTTTTGTTCCGGCAACTGCAAAATTAAGAGGACAGTTTACTACTGAAAACAAATTACTAAGGAAACCTGCAGATAACGCAAATAAATTTATCCCAAATCAGGTAGAAAATAAACTGCAATGAAAATTAAAATAAAACAACGGAGAAAACTAAAAACAGAACTGTTGTAGAGCCGAGTTATCTTACGCTGATCGAAACGTATCAAGAGGAACTGAATATTCCCTAATGCTCTACTCCTTGTTTCCTCCAATCTGTGCTCCTGAGTTGTGATCCGGACTTCGCGCCTCCACTAATGATCCATTTTATTGCTTAACAGCATGCTTATTTAAAGAGGGCATGCACTCGAGATATCACAGCGCGTTTTGAAGGCTTTTAGCAGTTTCATTTAACCTTTCCTGCTGCTGGATAACCGCACTGTCTGACAAAATCATCATATTTCCCACGACTGCTTAATATTCAGATTTATGTAATTGGTTTGCAGCTAATACATGCATATAATTTTTTCGCGGTTCACAAATTGATAACTCGTATAAGATCACCTTCTGTGCTGAGAGTAAAACAATTGTTTTGTGAATTAGTTCGAAACAGTTTAAAAGAAACTGGTTAGCTGATTATTGCTTTCTATATCTCTCTGAATTATCAAAATAATAACCGATCAACATCCATTGTTTTCATCAGTTTTTAAGGCAACAGCTCGCTAACGCAACGGTCTTAATGCCGACTAAGGTCTTTCGATGATAATCATTTGAAGTCTAAGGTCGTAAGTGACATATTATGTGCCTTGACTAGTTTGATATTATGGCCAGTGACTCAGCAAATCAGGCTATGACGAATTATGGCACGTAGCCGCAGTAATCGCGAAGTGAAAATGCGTGTGATGACGCATCGACAATGATTTTTATGGGCGTCCATTGCCCAGCATGAAAACAAATTGTTTTTCTGCGATTTCCATCAGATCTTTCGTGCTTAACAAGTTAATAAAAAAACAAAAGAATGACCATGTTTGTTCAAAATTCTGACTGTATATCAGGCGTGCGAAAGTTTACCTACCACGTTGGTGACGATTAAAGTGCGCCTACTTTTCAGTCTTTGGTACCGCAACGCTAATGGAAGGTTCAAGGGGCATTTGTCGTTGTTCTTCCTCCTTCGTTGACATGCTTCTTATCGTCATTGCCTGCCTTTGTTGGATTGAGCTGGCCTCAGCCTGTCAACCAAGTATGCATTATAACCTTACCATTACCTGGTTAACTGACGGTCATAAGTAAACAGTAGAAGTTATTCTCCGTTTCGTTATGTGTTTCACATATTGTTCTGTTTAGCATCTTTTCCATTTATCTTTGAGTTCACTCATCACTAGCTGACCAGTGAGTGAAACATTGTGTGTTGTTTGTCTGCATATGTCGGAACCATGTTGATGGTCTAAAACTGATCATTTTCTGATTAACTCTCTGATAGGATGGCTAATTGACAGTGACAGTTTCTGATAACGTCTAACCTTAATATGTCGCTGCTGTCAGCTAGCGCGAGAGGACCGGAAGTAAATACGGCATTCTGAAGGAATAGAACTTCCTTGTGTGTTTCTATCATTGTACTCTCATAATAACTACTCGACTGAATGAAATAATGGAAAGACCTTATTAAGGCACTCGCAGCTTGAGATAAAGTATTTCGTTCTTGCGTTAGTGGTCATACTGAAAAAGGCGTAAAGTACGTTTTATTAATAAATAACGCAAAAATATGGTCAATCGGTTCATTAAACGATATTGACTTTCTTGCCTGCGTTTCACGGGCGTTCTTCAAAGTAAAGAGACTGGATGATTGACTTCAGAAACCTGTTTTCGTTCGCGTTGAAACCCTTAGGCCTCCAAAACTACCAAACCCTACGACCGACAACAAGATTTTCGGAACCAATTTGCCAGCCTCTTTGCCAAGAAGAAGCCCTGTGAGACATGGGTTGAAACGTCGTTACTGGTAATGATCCTTTTGACCATGTTTCCGCGTTGTTTATTAATAAACCTGCTTGATGCTTTTTTCACTAATAACTGAATGCTAAAATTTCTGATTAATAAATGTACAACAATCTTCCTTTGTTTAGACGAGTTACGACGACACAAAACTAATCAACCCACGGCGTATTGTGTCACTTTTGAAATGAAAAGTTTGGGAAAATCGTACTACAAAGGCGAGAAAGGGTTGCGAATGAAGGCTCAAGTTTT